ATGTCTATACTGTAAACGAGCCTTTATGGGATTTGACCCAGACAGTTTTTCCAAAATATTTGGAAATTTCGTGCGGCCCCATTTAGTATGCGCCATACAGGCATGAAGACCTTGGCCTATCAAGAGCTGTACCGTCTTAGAGAATGTTTAGAGGCGAGCCACAAAAACAACCAAAGGTTTGGGGGCACTGCTCTATGAAAACAGGCCGTCAACCCTCAAGCTATTTCCCCTTTCCTATAAGCAACTACGCTGTGATCTCATACTAGCCTCCACCATTATGAATAGCCTGGTTTGTCGCTTTATCCCAAGTGATTTTTTCACTCAGGTTAACACACCCACTTTGCGCGGTGATACCCTAAAACTGCGCACAGGTAAAGTATATATCAGTGGACGTAAGTTCTTCCCCAGTAACGGAGCGGATGTTGCGTGAAACACCAACACACTAATATTGTACGCTTCCCCTGGGTGTATTCATTTTAATGCAAACTGGACGCGTGTCAAGCTTCACAATCACCAGCTATACACGCACCTAAACAACCGGCCGCTGAAATTACATACATTATACTACTTGCAATATGTGAGTAGACGTTCATGATTACCCTTTTCCGGCCAGCAGAGAGTTGCGTGTTTTTCGCATACAATTATACAAGCAATCTCTATTTCAATTTTCTAATTATTTGTGATTTTTCTTTGGCAATCTGCAACCAAAATAGAGTCAAAAGGCGCTCGCCTGTCTTTTGCTTGAAAAAGCTATACTGAACCGAACTGAGCCTTGTGTGAGACGTTTATCATACCTTGTCCAGGTCGGATGGGGAGCAAGTGGTTCTATGCCATTTAAAACCCGGCCTTAACTCTTAAAAACTCGCCTATTCACGGAGGATACATCTGTGAGACACTGACAAACGAGCCTCTCGCATTACACAAGCAGATCACGAGCCCGTTAACCGACCTCTAGGACAGACGTCAACATGTGTTTTAGGCCTGCATAACTTTAGTGGAACCCATGGTCATGCCGCGTCTTATCGTCAACGTCACAACATTAATCGTGGGCGCAGGGATTCTGTGTACCATGCATCATTTAAAAACGTGTCACACAGGCCTGCAGATAACAGTCGGACAGAAGAAGACAGGGCATGCCATCCTGCTGGTGGCAGTGAATTGAATATTCATTCTGTTCCTATTTTAACCGTTTCTTTTAACAATCCTGAATTCTTTGACAGCCTCCACGCCGCATACCCCCATACTTCCAAGACGAGGTTAACGAGCTTATTCAAACTATGCGTTCAACGGGAGTCATCCGAACTACTCATTCTCTATACGCGCCACCAGTGACTCTAGTCACTATGAAAGATAACAGGTGTTGAGTTTGCATTGATTCCCGGCGATTTAGCGCAGTCACAACGCGTGATTCCTTTCCTTCATCTGGAAGCAATGTGACACTAGTTGCTTTATTTGGAACAAGATGGTTCTGTGCGTTTGATGTAAAGTCCGGTTATTAGCAAGAAAAGTCTGAGACAAGTGTGAGAAACAGCATTCATGCTCTCCCAGGACCCTTAGAAATTCGAAAGGATGCCTTTTGGTCTTTGTAGTGCTGTAGCTGTCCGCTCCCTTAACCTCCACCGCGTTGTCCACCTGCCCTCCTGTCCGCCTCACGCTCTGCTGCTGGGAACGCGCCAGGCCTGACACTAGAGAAATAGCCACGGAAGCAGTAACTTGACTGACGTAGCGTGAATGTGGCGTGGAATTTTGAATTTAAAAGGGATATTCAAAATGAAGTAATAACCCATGAAACCTTGAAGTCAGTTGTCTAGCGGTACAGGGAGTGCTAAACGATTGAACAGTCCCGGGGGTTTTCAAAGCGGCCGTATACAACCCTAGCTTCCTTTGCAGACCGCTAGTGAGGATGCTGAGCAGAAGGGGGGACGCAGTTAACGAAACCCACGGAGTTTATCAAAGTGCAGGAGACAAGTAATTCGCCTTAGCGTGTGCGGTATTTGCGAGAAGAAGGACTGTCAACATCGAGGGTAATATGGCAATGCCGCAGACTAATAACACTGCAAGTATTACGACAGCATACGGATGGATATGTGTTTAGGTATGCCAGCAAACCCAAGTTGGCATGGCTTTAGATGCGGTTGATATGGAACATTTATTACTACGTTGTGACAATGGACATATTTTACCGATTCTTGAATGAGTGCAGCGGAAATCTCAGCACGACCTAAACTTGTGCCATCCCTGGATAGTCTGGAGTGGATTCATCTGAACGACTGAGATTGTGATAAAAGAACTGTTTTTACGCTAGACCTCCAAGTTTCAGAATATACCTAGATAGCGGTTTGGATTGGAGTGGTGTTTAACAAAAGCAGGCTGACATTAATGAAGGTAATCGAAATCTGCCTGGCTTTTCCCAAAGGAACCAGGGTCATTAGATGTGCGACTTCCGTGGGCATAAACCGCACCACAAAGTGGAATAGTACAGCATTCGGCGAGGTGTGTGCTCAAAAACACCCAGGAACGAGGTGAGGCAAATTGGAGGAGGCTTTCCTAGGGCACGTAGCAGAATCGTATCCACTTAACGACGGTCAACAAGCAGTGCCGCAAACGTCTCAATAAACGGACCGGTAGGTCGATCTGTAATGTTGATAATGGAAGCGTAGGTGGGTATACAGCAGAAAAGCAGTACATGGAAACGGATATCCTGCGCCTTTCGCAAGCCCGGCCAATGTATATCACCAAGAAACCGCCCCACGAGAGGTTGTCTGGTATATGTAACTCATTCGTAAAATTTCGTTGAATACGTCAATGACATTTTTCCTAAAGACAACACCCATGGAGCGCCCGCTGAAGCACCTCCGGTGACGTGATCTGGCCGCACGCGCTCACTGGAGTGTGATCGGAAAGGGGTAGAGCTGTTGACGCACGTAGCCTAGCTACTCGCTTGATTATTAAGGAAAGTGACCTCACGGTCAACTGGAGGTTAGGTCAGTGTGCACCAGTGCTATTGACGCTATTTTAACGCAATCTCGCCTACTCAAAAATGATTCAATGGATTGACCGTAAGACATTAGTCCAATGTGGATGTAGGAATAAACCTTACCTTAATTTGGACAAGCTGGATGCCGTACAGGGTCCGTCTACCTAATATTTCTGCAGCTGCACTCCCAATTCTGTAATCACACCTCGTCCGCCAACCCTCAAACGGGGTGGAGATGGGCGACAATGACGACGAAATACCAGCCGACCCTGCGGACAGAGCCTCCACTCAAAGGGGAGAAATTGTAACGGGGTAGACCGGAAACCACAGTTGATTTTGTTTTAAATGAAAATACTGACAGGTAGGATGCTGCCATCGAAATTTAGACAGGCGAGCGAGAGAAGTCATATCTGCAACAACGAGTTAAAAAGAACAATGGATTATCTCACGATTAACAAACTTGTATGAGGTTCGAGACAAAATAAACGCTCTTTGTTAAACGGGTTGTGTCATCTGAAGCGCATGCTGAATGTTGGTGTCACACCTCCATTGAAAGAACCCAGGACATTCAAATTCAGTTGTGGGCCGCAGACTACACTTCAACAAGAATGACGACTTCGTATCGAATCAAGGGAAGCTCATTCGATATTCCGATCCGGCGCGCTGAAATACGACGGGATCTTTAGGCGTATTTACGTAGAAAATGTCAAAGGTTTCAAGCGTAACCTGTTTTGCGGGGTTTACTTGAGAGTTTCAAGTCAGGCAACACACAGATGATTATTCGAAACCGGTGAATACTGTGCTGTCCTTTCTGTGCCAATTTTTTATTCAAATCCAGAAAGTCAAGCACTTTTCATGGTCACTGTTAACCGCGAAGAAACGTCGTAATTTGTGTACCTAATGTAGTTTTCAGCTCGCGCGGCTATGCCCGTGGGCCTGGAACGCAGGACAACCTTTATTTAAGTGTTTTATATCCAAACAAAACAGTGGCATGAAGTTAGAGCAGTAGTAGTGAGCGACATTGGTTTATAATCGATATTGGCTCGATGCATTTTTACGGAACAACGATCTGGCGGGTCCAAAAGACCTTATTTAAGCAGTTTACAAGGACAAATCGAATTCAGAAGACAAAAAGAACATTTTAATTAAGCGCCCTTTTTGTTGGTTGCCCACTTTGCTGCATGCGTCACCAAGGCTTATCTCAGCTAACAGTAAACCCATAAATTTATGAAATGATCTGCGGAGAGCATATGGGTGGCCAAAAGGATTTTCTGGCAGTGCAAACACAGGCAGGCAGAAAAGAATGTGGGGCTGGGATAAGACAACTTTGACAAACAATAATATCAAGTTATAATATCATACTTTGTATCACCATTTTGTCATTTGGCGGGGAACGCAAAAATTAACTTGCATACAATAGCTTAATCCCTGCACAGATAAGCTTTTTATGAAAGAAATAACATCAGTGAGACTAGTACTTTACCCTTTACTTTAGCAGCTGCGCTATCGCTAAAATTTCAATATCAAACGGCGTATTATCAAGCTAGTGGTCTTCAGAATTACTATACGCCTTCAGATTCATGCATTGCGTTTTTGGCTTAGATGAAGAATGCTGGTTGCTTGGAGAAAATGTAGAGGTAGTAATGCTTCTCATTCGTTCCGCCAGCATAGGCATATCGTATAGATAGAAAGTTATGATCGGCAGAGTTGCCAATTCAAATGAGCTTCGGAATACACGGATAAGTTCTGATTTTGGCCATTTCAAATCAATGTACTGTTCGTGGTGCTCCCAAGTATTTAACGGGCCATATGAAATAAAACGCACATGGAGTGACTTACAGGTAAGAAAAGGGTTGGGGAATTTACCACTCCTGCAAACTCTCATCCAAATTATTAGTCAGTAAAAACTCGTCATTCCCCGAACAAATTTAAATTTATTTTGCGCACCTCCAGAAGCCAAATGTCAAAACCCCGTACAGGTGGAAAGAGAATAGACAAACGAAGGAAAGTTCCTCTGGGTGTTTCAGCGCTCAACTAGCTTCGGCAGACGGGGCAAAATTCCACTGTCGTTCCCATGTGGCACACTGAGCTTCAGCTGCCTTAATGATTAAAATAGGAGGATGTCAACTTCCATTAGTTCTACAAACACAGATAGCTCACATGTTAAGAGAAGCGAGGTTAGAATATAAATTAGAGCTGAACGTCAAAAAATCTTTTTCAGAGCCCTGTAAGTATAAGAAAGAAAAGCAGGGCATTGTCGCAGTTAGATTACTTCCAAATTTTGATTGACGCCACGCCCAGTATGCTTATTGTAGCTTTCTAAGACGGAAAGTCTTCTCGTCGGATTCCTTTGCAGTTTAATTATAAATGATTGTAAAGTCAGAGAACTTGAGTATTAGTTATGCTGCTCAAGAAGGACAGCTGAGGCCTACCAAGGTTCACGTACTTCGGTTCAAGCCAAAACAGTAAAATTAAGGTCCAGATTATATTTCAAGATTAAGAGGCTTGACGAAATCCGAAGTTCTGCCAGCAAACGTACTGTCAACTATAAATCAGTTGCTTTCCTCACAGAGTCACGGGAGTTGTGATTGGCAGCCTTTTTGGACTTAGTTCAGTTTGCGCTCTGGAAGAAGCCTAAAAGTTTTGGAATCACCACTAACTTACCGATGCAGCATCGACTCACTATGAGTTTTAAGCCATTTTATTCGGGAGTCTAAGGCAGCATTTACTGGCCTTAACAGAAAAAACGGACATTGAACAATCTTCCTCTGAGCTTACGTACTTGGACAGATCTCCAGCAGCTGCGCTGATGTCCAGGGTGGCGATTGGCAGTTTGGGAGCCATAATGAAGCTCTTCTTGTTTAGCTGCGTGAGTTTCATTTCCCGATATTTCTCAATATGTTCGTTAATGGTGGCGTTCTCAAATTTCTCAGCATCGCTGCGGAAGTCACCGGCCGTAGACAGTAAATTGAATGAACTTCCAACAGGCTTAGACTTGCGACTGGACTTATGCTTGGCCGATTTTCGCTTGTTGGCAGTTGAGATGTTGTTCGATGGTTTGTTTGCACCTAGGAATATTGCTAATTCCGTTTTCACAGTATTCGGTTGCCATCCGCAAAATGTGACGCAGGCTGACGGAGGTGCTTGAATGGGTGCAAGCGATAAAAGCTCCTCAGCCGGCGTCTTTGGTTCTGCGGAGGCCTCAGTTCTGTCCCCAGCTCTAGAGCCAGTGTCTGTAACCTCCGTTTCCGCTTCCGCCCTTTGAGACCTCCGCCCTTCCTTCGGGCACGTAGAGGTTGAAGTGCGTCTACAACGTCCCTTCCTCCTAATAGGACGCTTTCTGGGTGTCATCTTCGTTAAGTGCGCGGATGTGGCAGATTTATTGATTTTTTCTCAAATTGCCACCTAGCATATTGCAACTAGTAACAAGGGAGCAAGCAGGCAGAAACGGCGTTTGGTCAGATGGTTCATTCAGTGGGCCAAGAATAATTTCCATCGGGCAAAGCTCAGGAAACAGGCGTTAAACAACGGCAGCAACTTGCCACAGTTCCCGAACACCGAATCAAGAAGCAAGCTTGTGAAAGTACTCGAAATCTCAACAAAATAATTTTTTCTGGGATGGCCTCTCATGTATTAGGAATCTCTAAATAGACGAGATGAGTTTTATAAATCCTAGCGTGGTTGAAAATTCGTCCAATAAAGCCATACCTGCCTGTCTATGGAAAAAGGTAATATATGCCCCCAGTCTAGACCGAAAGCAATATAAATAGGTTTAAATAGCAAATGGAAATAATTCATCTGACCTACTTGTAAAAAATTCGAAGAACTTGATAGGATACGAACCCACGATAGAAAGGTCAGGGCTGGTATTCACCTGGTAGACTCTAGACCAATCGCTTAGAAAATCTTACTTGACAAGTCAGATTACTGTATCAAAATTGATGAATTCCATGCGTTGCAATTGTCTGGGTGGCTAACGACCCAAATATGGTCTTGTAATTCAGGTGGTTTGAGCTTTCCTTTGCTCAAGACTTCCCTTTGCTATCATGGATTCGAGTCCCATCGCGACTGGCGAGTTCTCACAATTTGGGTAAATGAATTAAAATATTATGACCGGCCTCTACAAATCAGGGCTGAGTTATTGAGACATAATCTGTTCTCTAGCAACAATACGGGCATAAATTCTCACTTGCTAAAGACATCGTCTCACGGGAGTTTTTCCGCCCGAAATACACTACGGCTTACGACCGTCCCTTAGATAAAGAATTGCACAAACAACATTTGCTCTCGGAACATTTTATGTCTGGTAGAGAAGTCTTTGCTCTATTTTCACAGGATTCATGGAATCAGTAAATTAGATCTTTTAACTTCTTCATATCTAACTAATACGTCTCACTGCACACTTGCGTTGGACACGTCCACTCAGACTGCTTCCTCTGGAAACTTGTGAATCTTGGTGCTTCTCGACTCTTCCAGACTGATTATCGAGGATCAGAAAATTTTTTCGAGACTATTCTTTCTGCGTAAACCGCTTTGCTGATGGAGCACCTTTACCAGCATGTACCTGATAGCATGTCTTATTTTCAATTCACATTACTGTATTTGTCTTCCCTTCTGTTATTGTATTCGCACTGAGATTCGTTGAAAAGAACGAGTGTGTTCTAAACCAACAAACAAATCTGACATAGTTTGCAGTTTAGACGAATGGCCATTTCTAAAATAAGTAATAAGGAAATGCGAAGAGCATGAAACGGTAAGACACGGGGAAAACCAGGAAGCCGATGGTTCCACGCACTTTTCCATGTGCACAGTTCCGGTTGATTTTTTCATAAATTTTTTGCTGAAACAGCAAAGCAGGGCGAGTATTTGGGGAATGGTAATAGCAGCTTGTTTCTGGAACTTCCCTTTGGGAATGATGCACATGGACTTTCTCAGGACACAAATCTTTGTGAATGACAAAAAGGGCACATCCTAGCCAACGCAGCGCAGGGGAAAAACACAGGCATGCCTGAAGCAAAGCCTACAGTATTGTTTATTCTCGCAAGTGATCGTTGGGTTCCAACAGTAAGATCGATTCCAGGTGGTGATCGCACGCCGCCCCTGAAAACAGTCACGCACACTCCGCATGTTTGACATACTGACAACGATCGCAGCCTAACCCGAGCCCCCCACCCCAGCTCCATCATCCTCAACATGCTGACTCCGTCATGGAGGCGGTGTAGGAACAAGGAGTTTGACTAATCCTGCCGCTTGAGACACATTTTAATATTGTCAATAAATCACAAGTTTAGTATCCTATCAATAACTCACAAGTTCACTATCCATGTGGATGTATTAAACGGACGATGAATTGCTAAAAACATATGCTTGCCAAATGAGTTCAAAAAGTGATTTACTAAATCTCAAATATTAACGTTCACATAAACACATCAAAGTGCCAATAACATGTTTTTGTTATTAAAAATACTCCCGCCCAAAGAAACGCAAATTAGAAACAAAAAGCTCGGGTTTCCGATCAAGAACTGGTAGCTCAAGCGGTTAGAACGTTGGGCGCACTCAAGCTTAGCCTTTGCTGTCGATAGTCTGAATTCCACCGCCTCCGCCGAGTTTGCCCAAATCTGGTTGAACAAATTAATTAAAACTGTTTTCTATTTGCGATGGACGAGTAAACCGTTTATTTGGATTTAATGGTCTGTTTTTTACGAATTTTCGAGATTGTGTTCATTAAATTCTATAAAACGCGAAAACTTCTTACTCTGTGAATCTAAATAAAAATCAGGTTTATCAAAGCATTAGCTTAGCAATGGATTAATTAGGCGAGCACTCCAATCTGGGAAGGTGGGGAAAAGCCAGCATTTACACTTCCGGTGTTTTGTCTGTTCAGCGTAAACGAAGAAATTCGTTCGCACGATTTTCAAAGAAGAATTCGAGTATGCTTCGACGAAACAATGAAGGCGGAGCTCACGAAACGCCTCTTCTAAACTGCGATTATCTCTGACAATCAGTATGAATGTACCGGACTCATTAGCGGCGTAGACTGACGGAGAAGCCTGCTATGAGGAAACCCTTTACGATATTGAGAAAATATCCTACGATTTTTTTTTTAAATACGTTCAAGTAGAAGCTACGGTGTGCCACCTAAAAAGCCTGTAGTGCAGTCTGCCCACCCTGAGACACCCTCTGTATGTCATGCCGATTAAAGCAACCAAAAAAGCCTTGTGCGTGTTTGCCATGTCCAAGTGGTGTACACGAATTTATGTGAACTTGCGAGTTTGGTGACGTGTTGGGAGAATACAAAAGTATTTAGTAGTTTGGTCAGCTGAAAACATGTTTCAGTGGTTTTTCAGGCAGTAAAACTCACTCCTCCTCTCCTGTATCAACGCGGACATTCCGTCAACCTCAGTCTAGCATTGCAAGGCTATATTCACGCGTAAATATCCCAAACATATCACTCTATGGCGGCAGCCTACACACAGTGGACCAAACCCGGCTTGCGCGCACACACACTGGTCATGTTGCGAACCTGAGTTTGCCTAGGCAAGTCCTGATCCTTTGGTTGGCACACCATTCGTCCGCACAGAGCAGCTGGCCCCTACATTCGCTAACTTCATTTCTCCACCTTTTGGATATTTTCATTGATTAGAACTGATTTAAGAAAGTGACTCACGGCTTTTGTCGGCAGTCTGGAATACTCTTAAGCTGTGTACCTATCGCCACTTCTTAATGTTGTGCGGTGATGGAAGACAACTGAAGAACTTTTGCTAGCTTTTTGAAGTCAGCACATACTGAATTCTGCCACTTTTGCATTTTCTTTAAATCACACAGGACAGCTAGGCATGCGGTTGCATGGACCGTTTCACGTATTACTCATCTACTTTGAAAACGTTAATAAATACGTTTACTCGAAAAAGCTGATAAAGTTAGGCGCGGGAGGGGAATTCAACACCTTAATCCAACTTAGGCGTCTTTGTGCAAACTATGGTCGACTGTCAGAATCGGAAACTCCGAACCAATTTACAGACTAAATTGACTAGCGCTCCCGAAACACGAGTGGCATAATATGGCCGCCTCTAATCTCCAATCTCAATGCCCATTGGATTCCGAGCAGCATCAATGTAGGGAAACAAGTTAAGATCCGAAACACTACCGATACAAGCGAAGATGCGAGTTCCAGGAACTAGTTGATCAGAATAAGAAACGATCGCTGGGACAAGGGCTTTATTCGCCTGACGTTTCGGATTCAAGTGAGAATCCGAAACGTCAGGCGAATAAAGCCCTTGTTCCAGCGATCACTTCTTCTGATCTGAAACACTGGCTGGGAGATTGCTGTGACTACAAGATGAGCCTATGTCATGGCTTGCGTTTTGCTAGCTGTGTTAAAAACAAGGGATTCTGATACATTCAAACGACGCCTTTCCCTTGTTATCTGCCTTTAGCACGAAAAAAGAAGCGACCGATTGACGCGCACAATGCCAGACCTAGCTAATGGAGACCAGGCAAATTATGCGCCAGTCTGGTTGCTCATGGAGTGCTCATTATCCTGCTAAAGCTCATCCACGGTAATTCATGTGACAGTCCAAATAAGAGGACAACTGCTGAGTTTGCCGTTGTCTTGATTGAGCTGTGAGACATTCGCCCACATGCCTACGTTTTATAGGGTTGGCTACACAAAAAAAGCTAGAAGTGGTTTACCCTGTCGACACATTTATCCCCAACAGGCTACCCTATTTTGGGAGCTTTGTTTGAGGACTTTCTGCATGACTGTAGAACTAAGCACTCAAAGGGTTTCTTTGTACTAATAAAAGCCTTACATAATCAACCATCTGTGATTACTTGAAATTGTGATCTGCTGTGACAAGATGTTAATTATTACTTGCTATTTCTCATTAAAATGTCAACTGGACTATTTTTGTCATAATTAATCATAATTTTTATATTGTTCGAAAAACTATTCAAAAACCTGCCGCAATGTCGGACAAAACATCCAGGCCTGCTACACTGTACTCAGCGGGCTAAGAACATTGATAAACATTTAGCATAATCGGCCGGGAATCTGGCTTCTCTTTGCAGCCCTGCGATAGTCGGGACCTATACAGCAGTTTTTAACAATTTCGAAGGACTCTAGACTTGCATGAAGCTTAACCAGGAGCGCAAGGACAGCAGCTACCATGCCCCTTGTTTGGATCGCGCTGCTGACTGCCGAATAAGCTGGGATAAAGTACGAAGATTTCGAGACCTCGGAAAAAAGCAGGGACACACGACAAATCAGCTGGATGTCATCGAAACTATCCGTTAGCCTAACTATCCAGCGCGGATGCTGGAGAGAACTACTGTGTGGGCCTTCGATGAGG